GCTCCATAGGGAGCTCCACCGAAGGCCCCAGTGCCCGCGGCCGCATGCGTCCCCCACACCCATTTCGGCACACCCCTCACACGTTTCGTGGCTCCATAGGGAGCTCCACCGAAGGCCTCAGTGCCGCCGCCCGCATGCGTCACCCCCACCCATTTCGGCACACCCCCCGCATTTCTCGCACGGCAGGGTCATCACCACGGCGGCGTGCCAGGGGCGCACCGTGCGCGAAGGCGACGGGGCGGGGGAACGGCGCTCCGGGGGCGGCCAGACCTCCGGGGCGCGAGCAGTCCGCGGCCAGACCATCTCTCGGTCCTGTGGACTCTCGCCCTGGGCCGTCGGCTGCCCGGCGCGCTGCTCCCTCGGTCGACGTCGCCCAGGCGTGATCCTGGATTGCGGCCGCCACGAGGTAGGGAACGGCAAGAAGGAGGACGACGACTGGTGGCTGGAGCTCTACGTGCTGCTCTCGCGCGCCACGCGCCACGAGGACCTCCTGCTCATGCGGGCGCCGCGCATCGAGTTCTTCCTGGCAGGGCCGCCGCAGGGCTTGCGGAAGCAGCTGGAGCAGTTTGCGGCGCGCACGAAGCGGTGCAGGAGGGAAGCGACGGCCCTCGCCAGGGAGCTCGGCTTCACCGAGTTCATCCGCGAGGCCTGACCTGAGGAGCGTCTCCCCCGAGCCGCGCCTTCTCTCGACTGCCCGACTAATTGTTTGGCCTCGCGCCGCGGACGACCCGCGCGCGTCGCTGGGACCCTCTCGGGGCGACCAGCGCGCGTCGCGGGAACTCCGTGCTGCGGGGGGCCCGGCGCCTCGTTCGCCCGTCGTCGCTCTGCCCAGCGGTCAGAGACTTGCCCGCTATCAGCCAGCCAGTTAGCTAGTCAGCTCTCTCTGCTTCGCGCAGCGGACGACCCGCGCGCGTCGCTGGGACCCCGCCCGGGGCGACCAGCGCGCGTCGCGGGGACTCCGCGCTGCGCTGCGCCCGCAGCCTTGGATTTTGGAGTGCGCGGGCAAAGAGGAAGGAAAAGAAGAGCCGAAAGCGGGCGCGATCCTCGCAAGAGGCGTGCCGACATGGGCGTCGCGACGTGCGGACGCTGCCGTCGGGGTTCCCGCGGAAGCTGCCTGCGGCGGCCACGCCCAGTGTCACGTGTGTTCGGACAGGCATGCTCGACACTTACACTAGGCGGCTCCATGATCGCATTCATGCAAATATATTCACTCGCGCGCAGACCCATTCATACTCAGATTCCCTCGCGCTCTGACTCACCCGCGTTCTTTCTCTCGTAATCAAATCAATCGTAATCCTTTGCGTTGTGTACCCCGCCACATTTCGGCACACCCCTCATGCGGTTCGTGGCCCCATAGGGAGCGCCACCGAAGAAGATACTCCCAATTGCGATACTCACAACTGCATATGGTTGGGTCCTTCGCCAGGATAATTTATGTTTTTTGTCGGCTTTCGTGTCCAAGGATGCTCCTCGATGGTCCTCGCCGAAGGAAAAATGCACACGTCCGAGCGATGCCAAGACCCCAGGAAAGGGCGACATTTGGTGCGCAACTGCACAGGGGACGCGGGGTGGCCAAACCTGGGCGCGCAAGCCGCTGCTCCCGCTTCGCGTTCGATCGGCGGACCCCGCGGGGCCCGCGCCAGGGGTCCTTCAGGCGAGAGGCTACCCTTATGTCTGGTCGAAAAGGCGCCGATGCCGCTGCTCCCCAGGCCTCTCCCAGGGTGCGGGCGGACCAGGACCTCGAGGCGAATCCAGCGCCAGTGGTGTCGACGAGGGCCTCCCTGGAGGCCCACAACAGAAAGGAAGAACGGGGGGGAAAAGGAAGCGGTACGGGTACCTCGCCGTCGCTCGGACCTCCATTCCCTGTGTTTTGTTCGGCTTCGTGCGTGGTTTTTTCCGCCGAATGATCAGGGATGCTCCTCGACGGTCCTCGCCGAAGGAAGAATGCACACGTCCGAGCGATGCCAAGGACATGCGACATGCGGGAGGAGGAGGAGGAGGGAGGATGGAAGAGGAGGAGGAGGAGGAGGAGGAGGAGGAGGAGGAGGAGGAGGAGGAGGAGGAGGAGGAGGAGGATGGGAGGAGGAGGAGGGAGGGGAGGAGGAGGAGGGAGGAGGAGGAGGAGGAGGAGGAGGAGGAGGAGGAAGAGGCCCTCCCTGGGTGCCTGCTCCTCCTCCGGCGTCCACCCCGGCCGAGGACCCCAACCGCCAGGGGTCCGGGCCTCGGCCCGCGGCAGAGGCGCCGGCGGGCCCCCCCCGTCCCGCGCCTCACGGGTGCGGGCGGCCGACGGTGTGCGCGGGACAACAATAGGAAGGCACCAACTATACACCAACACCGATCCTGGCCCAGGATCACCCTGGGCCCAGGATCGGTGTATACGCCCTCCTGCCCAGCGCAAGGAGGCGTATGCACCGATCCTGGGCCCAGGGTGATCCTGGGCCAGGATCGGTGTTGGTGTATAGTTGGTGCCCTCCGAAACAAGTGTCGGGGGTTGCTAAACGCGCCCCTGGGCAAAGGTACCCCCAGCTTTTCGCTGAGTTTTGGAGCCCCTGGGGCCCTCTGGACCTCGTGAGGGGTGCTCTGGAGGCCGTGGGGGCATCCTTGGAAGCCTTGGGGGCACCCCTTTGGCCAGGGGCACTTCTAGGAACACCCGAAAGTGGGCACGATGCCCAACAACGGGCGACCGACAACGGAACAAGAAACTCGCCGTCGCTCGGATGTCCACTTCCCGTGCATTTTTCGGTTCCGTGCGCGTTGTTTGCTTTGCTCGTTGGTCGAGGAGGGTCCTCGATGGTTCTCGCGGAGGAAACAAATGCACACGTGGAAGCGAGCGATGCCAGGGAAGGGGGCACGAGGCCCAACGACGGGCGGCCGACAGCGGCCGCTGCTGGGCAGGCGGCCTTCCATCTCGCAGGGGCAACACTGCGGGCGAGGATCGTGCCCACATCCGCTGCAGCTTGCGGACTCGGGCGCTCTCCCCCCGAAGCCCCTGGAGCACTGGCTTTGGATACATGTCTGGCCCCCAGAGGCTCGGTTTTCCGCGCGAATCGGCCTTGCGGCGCCCCGTCCGAGAAATCCCAAGACGCACTGGCTGTGGATATCTACATATACATATATATATATATATATATATATATTATATAAAAATACACACACACACACACACTCACACATATATGTATATATATATATACATACATATACATACATAAATATATGTACACACATTGCCCGCGAGCGTCCGCGGCGGCACCGGACAGCGAGTCCTCTGCATGAACAGGACCTGCTGATGGGCATCGTACTCCGAGTTTCTTCGTAAGCGTCGGGTCGGCGTCACCCCCGCCGACAACCCCACATCGACCCCCGTCGCGGGCAGCCACCGCGCGCCGAAGGCGCTCCGACCCCCGTCGCGGCGCGACGACGAGGCAAGGTTGACCCCCGTCGGGGGGGGCAGCCCCCCCCACGCTTATCACCAAAAACCCAAGTGAACGTTTTTTTATTCGGCGCTTCGACATTGGGCGGAAGCGGGGAGAGGAGGGGGGGGGGTCTGGCTCCAGGAATCTGCTTGCGACTGTTTGAAACCGTGCGTCCTATGGGGTAGGGACTCCACCTGCTCGAAACAAGCACCAAAAAGCAGCTAAGATCTACTGGCCCGCGCCGATCGGCAAAACAATACATAAAAAACGATCACGTAACTCGCGGCGCGACGACCCCCGACCCCCGTCGAGGCGCGACGACGAGGCGCGGTTGACCCCCGTCGGGGGGTAACCCCCACGCGTCCCTGGCGCGCGGAGCGAGCCAGGGGCGGCGCCGGAGGCGCCGCCAGGGGAGCCCCAGCGCCGATCCCTAAAAACCGCGCGGAGCGCCAAAAGTTTATCTTCATAGCGTTTTTTCTTCTTCGATCTCCAGCACGAGCAGGACATGCTGTTGGGCATCGTACCCTTTAGTGCGACTGCTTGGAACCATGCGTCCTAGGGTGAGGGACTCCACCTGCTCGAAACAGGCACCCAGAAACAGCCAAGATCTACTCCATTCGGGGGGGGGAAGGGGGGCGCGAGGGCCCGAGCCGATCGGCAAAACAAGAAATAAAAAACGATCACGTACCCCGTTGCCCGTCGCGGCGCGACGACGAGGCGAGGTTGACCCCCGTCCGGGGGGTAGACCCCACGCGTCGCGGCGCCGGAGGCGCCGCCAGGGGAGCCCCAGCGCCGATCCAAGAAAACCGCGCGGAGTGCCAAAAGCTCATGCTCACAGCGTTTTTTCTTCTCCGACCTCCAGCACGAGCAGGACCTGCTGGTGGGCGTCGTACCCATGAGCGCGACTGCTTGGAACCGCGCGTCCTAGGGGGGAGGGACTCCGCCTGCTCGAGGCAGGCGCCCAGAAGCAGACAAGATTGAAGGGGCCCTGGGACACGCAAATAAGTGCACACAAATAACAATATTCCCCACATGCTCCACACCTTTTGGATGTTTGTCTTTCCCCCCACTTCCCACATGTTTCAATCTTTTCTCGAGAATCGACGACTAATTGTGTCCGTGTGTTTTTGTCCTTGCTGGAAGATCTACTCCGTAGGATGGGGGGGGAGGGGGGTGCGAGGGCCCGCGACGATTGGCAAAACAAGAAGTAACAAAAACGCCCACGTACCCCATTCGGCCCGCGGCGCCGCGGCCCGAAGGTGGGCGGGAGGAGGAGGAGGAGGAGGAGGAGGAGGAGGAGGAGAGGAGGAGGAGGAGGAGGAGGAGGGACGAGAGTGAGGAGCAGCAGCAGCAGCAGCAGCAGCAGGAGGAGGAGGAGGAGGAGGAGGAGGAGGAGGCGGAGGAGGAGAGGAGAGGGAGGAGCAGGAGGAGGAGGGAGGAGGGAGAGCGGGAGGAGGAGAGAGGGAAGAGGGGGGAAAGGGAGGGAGGGAGGGAGGAGGGGGCAGAGGCGAATCTCCATCCTCTCCGCGCCCGTGCCGCTCGTGCCGAGCGGGAGGGGGGGGGGGGGGGGCGGGGGCCGCGCTCCTCCTCGCCCGCCGGGCCGCCCAGCGCCTCGGCCCACCCCGACCACGCGTCGAGGTGGGCGACGAGGCCCTGCCCCGGCGCGGGGGGGCCCCGCGGCCTGCCTCCCTCGAGGGGCGCCTCGCCCGTCCCGGCGCGCGCCACGGAGCCGCGTCCCCCGATGCCTCGAAACCAGATCGAGGCGGGTTGCTTTCGTCGTCTTCGGCCAGGGGGAGGAGGAGGAGGAGGAGGAGGAGGAGGAGGAGGAGGAGGAGGAGGAGGAGGAGGAGGAGGAGGAGGAGGAGGAGGAGGAGGAGGAGGCCGCGGGGACCGTCAAAAAACGACTCGGGATGAAAAACCGGTCCGGGGGAAATCGTCGGGAGGTCGGGGGCCCTTGTCTCGGAAACATCGGAGCGTCGGATGTCTGTGGAGCGCGGCCACAGCACTTCACCCCGCGCGGCCTCGACCGCTGTGCGAATCAAAAGGTCGCCAGGCAAACAGGGAACACCAGACGAACCGCCCTGCGATAGGCAAGCACAGGCGCTGAACCGTGGCCCGAAGGATGGGCGAGCGTGCCGCATGCGAAACGAGAAGGGAAGACCCGTGCCTCGAACAAAGTCGCGACGTCGGGTGTCTGGGAGTCCGTGTCGTATCCATGTCGGGCTCGTCGAGGCCGTGCCGAATCCGTCGTGGCGGGTCGACGACGAGCCCTCGTCGGAGCGAGTTGCACAGGTAAAGGACACCGATCTGTGGGGGGGAGGGCAGACGGGCCCCCCCGAAGATACAGCGCGAGGGACCTGTAGCGCGTGCGGCCTCCTCCTCCTCCTCCTCCTCCTCCTCCTCCTCCTCCTCCTCCTCCTCCTCCCTCCTCCTCCCCTCCCCCTCCTCCTCCTCCTCCTCCTCCTCCCTCCTCCTCCTCCTCTCCTCCTCTCCTCCTCCTCCTCCTCCTCCTCCTCCTCCTCCTCCTCCTCATCCTCCTCCTCCCCCTCCTCCCCCTCCCCCTCCCCTCTCCCCTCCTCCCCCTCCCCCTCCCCCTCCCCCTCCCCCTCGCCCTCGCCCTCGCCCTCCCCCCGCCTTCCGACCCGAGCACCTCTGCCTCCCGGCTCCCCAGACGGCATCCCTGAGATCCCCATCGCCTCGGGCTTCGGCCGTGCTCTGCGACGATGCCTCATCGGCTCGCACCGTCGGATCTCAGGGGGGGCCTGGCTCAGGGGGGGGGCAGACAGACAGAGAGACAGGGTCCCGCGCCGAAGGCACCCGCGCGGGTGCAGCGCGTGGGCGCCGAGGCGCCAGGACAGAACGAGCTGGCCGCTCAGCGGCAGGAGCCGTGGCGGAAGAGGGGAGAGCGTGGAGCGCCGGAGTCGGCTGCCAGAGCACCGCGTGGGGTGCTGTGGGTGCGGCGCCACGGCGACGGAGATGCCAGAGGACCAGCTCAGGGGGGGGGCAGACGCCCAGCTGGATTCGGCGGTACCCTGGTCCAGGCAGCGCAGTGAGCACTAGGTGAATTGGCAGGTCGCGTCGAGCACTTCCTTCGTAACATTAGCGCCGACTTTGGCACGGGCAAGAATAAGCAACGAACAAGAACAAGGAAGGTGCGCAACATAAATTGATCGATCATCCCCACCCGACTCCAAAAGATCAACCGTATCAAGAAACTCTGGTTCCATGCTAAACTAGTTGTTACGAGGCTACAACCGGCGGCTACCTTTGGAGGGGAGATGATGGGATGGGATATACACCGCAGGAGGTAGATTTCTTACGTGACGACTCTCACCTGCTAGAGTCATGGGTATTTCTAAGGGTGGGATGAAGTTGGGGTGGCTGCTCGACCTAACAAGGACTCGAATAGAATAGCTGTCAGTACCTTCAGGCGTTACTGCCAGGAGTGGTGGCAAGCGAGTGATGCCGACCTCAAGAGAAGCGTTGGATTGGCTGCAGAAGAACTTGGCTATCGTGCGACTCTGGCTCATTGCCACAGCCACCCAGATGAAGCCAGCCGCTTCCGCCGATTGTCAGGTCCTATGGCTGATGTGCATCCCTGGATGAGATAGGTCGGGTGGGAGTTCACCATCCCAGGCATGGTCGGCCGTCGCATTGGGGACCTATGGCCTCTGGCAGACACCCAACTGGGGGGCTGCCAGGTAGGAGGCTCTTGCGAGGCAAAAAGCTGAATCCCTACCAAGGGGAAGATTCTGAAACAGACGCCTTGGTACAGCTACACACAGCTGCCGGGAGTCCTGAAAAGTGGGGGCATCGCACACGTGGGATGTGTGCATTCTTGCAGCCAACACGACACGAGGAGGAGGAGGAGGAGGAGGAGCAGCAGGAGGAGGAGGTGGAGGGGGGGAGGAGAGGAGGAGGAGGAGGAGGAGGAGGAGGAGGAGGAGGAGGAGGAGGAGGAGGAGGAGGAGGAGGAGGAGGAGGAGGAGGAGGAGGACATCGTGCCTGGAAGGTGCCCCAAATGTGCCCCTGACAGAGAGGGCACTGACCGGAGGTGCCCGCCATGGCCGAGCACGCTGGGGAGGACCCTCCGTGACTCCGCACGCCATGGATGGCGACGCCTCCCTCCGCCGAGCGGCACACCCCAGCCTCTGCTGCGCGCAAAGACCTCAGTGGGCCCTGGAAACGACAGGGCCGTTTTGTTACCGGTTCCGACGCTGTTTTCTTACCGCTTCCGTCGCCATTGTTTGACCATTTCCGGCTCCGGTTCCCATCCTGGAGCCGTTTCCGGTCGCCGTTTTTGTTGCCGTTTCCATTTTCAAGGGACATTTTATTGGAAACGGTGAAAAAACGGCCCTGCCGTTTTCGGGGCCCACAAAGGCGTAGACCCCTCAGGTAATGAAATTCCCTATTTACGTTTTGTGGTTAAGCGGAGCTTTACGCTCAGGTCGGGCATGCCCTCCCACAGGCGGATTTTGGACGAAACAAACAAAACAACAAACAATCCAAAAATGGTCAAACTATCGTCCCTGGACTACTTTTTGGTCTATTCTTGAATACTCCTCCCGTAGAGGGACACGCCCGACTTAATTTTGCACTCATGGGAGTTGCTTTCGCATCGACAAGGAAGGTTTGGTCCGAGCTGGCTGATCGGTCATTGAGCGGAATTCCCTGCATGGGGTCGCATGCCGGAGAGCGAGCTGCGGCCCTGTCCCCGCTGGCCTCCCCCAGACGGCCCCGGCTGCGGAGCATCGCGCTCTCATGCGAGCTCTCGACCACCGGCCGTGCACGTCCAAGGAGCATTTAACCTGATATACAGTGGATGCCCGTCCAAGAGAAACCTTCCACAAGAAGCCCAACCCTGCGACCCCAGGACGTCCATTGCTGTTTGGTGCGGGAAGGCTGCGCTGTCCACAGCAGAACCATCGAAACCCAAGAAATCCAGGGCACCCCGGAGGCAAGCAGGGAATTTCTTGGCATGGGTCTCCACTGTGGGCCAAGAACCACTCGGCTCCCCAGGCTGGGTGCAAGCTGTCGGCTGCAAGGGCGCTCCCGGCATGAATTACAGGAAACTCCCACCAGTCCCTCGAAGAGGCCTCCTTCAAAGATGAGGAGTTGCACTTCCTCGACAACAGGTGTGCGGACCATTGATTCGAGACGGGGCCTTGGCGAACGGCTGGCCCGAGAACGGTTTGAAACTTGTCAGGGCTGATGTTTCACTGTTTTAGGGGGATGCCCGTGCTATGGTATCTATACTTGAGCGGTGGCCTCCACTCGAGAGCTTTTCGCCCCCCTCCAGCGGCCTCCCAAGGTCCCCAGTGGGCAAAGCGCGGCTGCGATTGCGACCCCCCCCCTCAAACCGACGTCTGGGACGGGAACTGCTGGATGTGAGTGTCGTGCTATCGTCTGGAGCCAAACTGCTGGCCACCACGTGATGATTATCCCTCGCGGCTTCGCCTCAAGATGTGCTCCGGGAGGCACAGAAACCAGAGCACGGGCATAAGAGTCCTGTCATGGCTGCGTCTGCGACGGGTATGCCCGCACTCTTCTGCAAGTGGTGTTTTTTATTCGTTGTTTTGCCGATCGGCGCGGGCCCTCGCACCCCCCCCCCTCACTTATGGAGTAGATCTTGGCTGTTTCTGGCGCCTGCTTCGAGCAGGTGGAGTCTCCCCCACAGGACGCACTGTTGCAAACAGTCGCATCAAGCAAAGGTCCAGAGCCAGACCCCCCCCCCCGCCTTCCGCCCAATGTCGAAACGCCGCCCGAGAAATCGCGCTCGCCAACGAATGCGGTGCCACCGCCTCGAATCGCGCGATTCGTCTCAGGAATCCCGTGTGCACGCCGGCATTGAGCGCTGACCTGCTGAGGTTGCGCCGTGGTCTGTTTTGTCAGGGTTATCGGGGAAAGCGGAGCTCGACCCTCCCTCTGTGGCACCCATGGGCCCCGCGACCCGCAGGAGTCTCATCCTCCTCCTCCTCCTCCTCCTCCTCCTCCGCCTCCTCCTCCTCCGCCTCCTCCTCCTCCCCCTCCTCGTCCTCCACCTCCTCCTCATCCCCCTCCTCCTCCTCCTCCTCCTCCTCCTCCTCCTCCTCCTCCTCCTCCGCCTCCGCCTCCGCCTCCTCCTCCTCCTCCTCCTCCTCCTCCTCCTCCTACTTCTCCTCCTCCTCCTCCTCCTCCTCCTCCTCCTCCTCCTCCTCCTCCTCCTCCCAAATAGTGTGACGCCTGGCTGACAAGGAGGCCAGCGCGCTCCGGGGAGGGCAGGGAGCGGGAGAGGTAGGGCGCTGACCTGGCAGGGCCTGGGGCGATCCCCCTTGCCTCTCCAACAGGCTTGGGGAAGCTTTGCCGCAGGGGGAGGAGCGGGAGAGCAGGGCGTAGGGCGGCGCCGAGTGCGCCGCCAGGGGGCCCAAGCAGCGCCAATCCAAGACAGCCGCGCGGCTCCCCGAACACTTGTGCCCGTACGCCCTTCGACCCAAGCGCCGATTCAAGACGGGCACGCGAAGGATCCCCGAACGCTTGAGCCCAGGACGTGCTGTGTCCTGCGATCAACATGGGGGAAGCGTGCCGCGAGGGAAACGGGCCCTGCACCCCGGGGCCTTCCCCCGGGACGAGCTCTTATCCTCCCGAGTCGTTATCCGACGGTCCCACAGGGCCCGTGCAGGGCCCCGCGGGCCCGAAAGCGGGACAGACCTCGGGACCCATTGCCCTCTGGACCCGCTTCCCCCCTGGCGATTCTTTCCTTCTCCTCCTCCTCCTCCTCCTCCTCCTCCTCCTCTTCCTCTTCCCCCCTTCTTCCTCCAGGGACTTTTGCACATGCAATGTTATGTCCTTCGATCCATTCCCCCAATCCCTCTTCCCCTCATTTTCCTCATCCACTTCCTCCTCTTCCCCCTCCTCCCCCTCCTCCGTTTCCTCCTCCTCCTCCTCCTCCTCCTCCTCCTCCTCCTCCTCCTCCCCTTCTCCTCCTCCTAACCTCCTCTCTCCTCTCTCTCCTCTCCTCTCCTCTCCTCTCCTCTCCTCTCCTCTCTTCTCCTCTCCCTCCCTCCCCCCCTCCCCCCCTCCTTCACATCCTTCCTCCCTCCCTCTCCCCCTCCCCGCGCGAGAAAAAGCCGCGCCTGGCACTGCAGGGCCACCGGCGAGGGGGAAGGCGCCTGCAGGCAGGGGGGCGGAGGCGCACAGGAAAAGGCAGGAAAGGGGGGGCGGCAGGAAAAGGCCAGGGGAGGTGGGAGAGCGGGAGGAGGACGGCACGAGGAGGGGGAAGGAGGGGGAGGAGGAGGAGGAGGAGGAGGAGGAGGAGGAGGAGGAGGAGGAGGAGGAGGAGGAGGAGGAGGAGGAGGGGGAGGAGGAGGGGGGAGAGAGGAGGAGGAGAGGAGAGGAGGAGGAGGAGGAGGAGGAGGAGGAAGGCGGAAAGGAGGAAGAGGCGGAGGAGGAGGAAGGAGGCGGAGAGGAGGAGAGAGGAGGAGGGGAGGGGAGGGGGAGGAGGAGGAGGAGGAGGAGGAGGAGGAGGAGGAGGAGGAGGAGGAGGAGGAGGCGGAGGGGAGGGCAGGGGAGGAGGAGGAGGAGGGAGGAGAAAGAGGAGGAGGAGGAGGAGGAGGAGGAGGAGGAGGAGGAGTAGGAAGAGGAGGAGGAGGAGGAGGACGAGGAGGAGGAGGAGGAGAGAAGAAGGCGGAGGAGGAGGAGGGGAGGAGGAGGAGGAGAAGGGGGAGGAGGAGGAGGAGGAGGAGGAGGAGGAGGAGGAGGAGGCGGAGGAGGAGGAGGAGGAGGAGGAGGAGGAGGAGAGAGGAGGAGGAGGAGGAGGAGGAGGAGAGGAGGAGGAGGAGGAAAGGGCGGAGGAGGAGGAGGAGACGAGGAGAGGAGGAGGAAAGGAGGAACCGCACCCACTTGCGCGGCGGGCCGTCTGTCTCGGCGCGCCGCCCGGAGCGCCCGAGCGGCGCGGCGCCCCCCCGCCTCGCCGCCGCGGGCGCGGCACGCCCTCGCGGCACGGCGCCGGCCGCCGCCGCCGCGCGGGCGGGCACGGGCCTACGGCCTCAGCCGCCAGCCCACCTCGGCGCAGGCGCGGCACGGCGCAGGCCGCCTCCGCGCAGCGCCTGGGGCCTCTCGCCGCCCAGCGCCCTCCCGCTGCCGCCCAGCAGGCCGAACGGCCGCAGCAGTGCCCAGGCTGGGCGGCGAGCCGCCCACGAACTTCATGCCGTTGTCGGCACCTCGTCCGCTGGGGCCTCCGTTAGGCGCGCCTCCAGCTGGACGGGCTCGCCGATGAAGTGGCCCTTGATCGGGTGCTTCCCCGCCTTCATCCTGTTCAGCCTCGTGCCCGCAGTGGCGCTGGCGATCTTGCCCAGGCACTTCGCCGCCAGCAGGACGGCCGCACCTCCGCTCGCCCTTGCACCGCAGGCGCTGCAAAACACGTCGCCCATGGTCATCCGTCGGTGCGACGCGTCGGCCGCCAGCGCGGCAGCAGGCGTCCCGCGGCACAGCCCCGCCTCCAGCTGGGCGCGGTCCCCGCAGCGGACCCCGCAGCGGTCGCATGCGAAGGGCAGCGCGCTGTCACCGCCGACCCACTGCGCACGGTGCCGCAGCGGCAGGCCCACCACGCTGCCCTCGTCGTCGGGCATGAAGAGCTGAGGCACTCGCTCGCGCTGGAGCCGTGCCGCCGCGCGGCGGCCGATGCCGTCCAGGCTGGCAGTCCTGCCATCGGCCTGGCTGCTGCTCGCCTCCAGCGCTGCCTGCCGAGCCTCGGCCTCGCGAGGCCGCTTGTCACCGCCTCGAGCCAGCGTGCCCTTCGCCGTGAAGGGCTGCCGTCTGCGCGGGGCCGCCTGCCTGCGCGGCTGCACCAGCGGCGCGTCGTCGCTGTCCTCGTCGTCGTGGCAGGCCTGGCTGCTGCAGCCCTGGCCGCTCCGCGGGGTGACCCGCGCTGCCCAGCCGCCCGCCAGGCCTTCGGGGCCGCCGCCGCTGGCCTGGCTCGCCGTCCTCTGCTGGGCCCCGCGGGGCGAGGCGGGGTCGGCCTCGCCCCTGCTGACAGCGCTGTCACGCTGGGCCAGGTCCTTGCCGTCGGTCACGCCGTCGGAGCCCCCCGCCAGGCCTGCGCTCCCAGCTGCCGCCGCGAGCGCCGCCGCCGACAGCACCGTGGCCCCGCGCCGAGGCGGCTCGCCTCCGCTGCTGTCGCCATCCTGGTCGTCGTGCGCCATGCCCAGGCTCGTGTCGACTCTCCTGTCGGGCTCGGGCACTGGCTGCCCGCGCGGCTGGGTGCGGCGGCGCTTGGCGGCACGCACCATGCCGTGCTGCTCCTCGTGCCTCGGGGCCCTCGTCAGCAACTGCTTGCCCGTGGTGTCCCTCTGGCTCCCGTTGGCAAGCACGCACACCTGGGCCACCCAGCCAGCCATGCGGCCCACCGCCCCTTGCTGGGAGGCGAAGCGCTCCTCCTCGGCCTGCGAGCTGCAGGGGTGGCAGGCCGCTCCCAGCTTGGCCTCGGTGTCGGCGGCGTGATTGCCAAGGGCGAGCCGCCGCTCCACCGAGCCGTATGCGAGCTGGGTGATGACCTGGTGGGCCTTGACCTTGCGGAACTGAAGCTGATCCTGCCCGATGTCCATGATTAGACGCCAGATCCTCCTCCACTGCTCGGCGTAGGCCTTGCCAGGCGCGCAGCACACGGCAGGCCCTGCGGCGATGCCGTCGAGCAGGTCCTGGTAGTCGCTGTAGATGGTGAACGGGGGCACGGCGTGCTGCAGCATGACCTCCACTGCGAAGAGCTCGCCCTCTCCCACCTCCTGTAGCCAGCCAGGAGATGGCCCGTGGCAGGCGCACGTGACTCGCCCGAGGTGGCCCACCGATGCGCAGCCGAAGCCCACCCGCATGCCATCAGGGCCTGCGAGGCTACGCCCTGATCCGTCCACGAAGCCGTCGTCCATGAAGAAACCTCCTGGGACCTCCACGCTCCATACCGTGTGCCACGCTCTCGACGGCCTCGGCCCCGCGTTCCAGTTGGGCAGCAGGCACCTGCCCCAGAACGCCTCCTGCATCGCGGTGAGTGTGCCCTCGGGGATGTGGACCTGGCCGATCTCGCTCTCCCTGCGCTCCCGCGTCCACGCCACGCATGCACCGTGGCGGTGTGGGAGCGTGCCAGGGGCCTCTCCGCAGCGCTGGCACAGTGGGGAGTCAGCAAGACCCGCGGCCTGCAGCTGCTGCTGGGGCCACTGTGCTCCGATGACGGTGGAGCGCAGGCCGCGCGCCTCCTGCTGCAGGCCGTGCTTCTCGAGGTTGCGGGTGACCCTGCGCACTGGCTCCAGGTGGATGCCATCCTTGAGGTGTTCCAGCCCTTCATGCATACTTATCTGAGTGTACTGCCACCGCTCGATGGTTCTGTCCAACAAACCTTTGATCGCCCGTGGCCCCACGCCTTCTCCCAGCTCCAGCTCCTCGCCGTCGTGAGAGGTCCACCTGCTGGCCGAGATTACTTGCCAGCCTATCCTCCTTGCCGTGGCTAGCATCGCCCCCGCTGGCCCGACCACGGCGGCCCATGGGTGCAACTTGTTCCGCTGAGTCGCCCCTGCTCGGTCAAGTGCTCCCTGAAGTATGTGGGTGGGGATGCGCTTAGTCCAGACCGCCTTCGCCCACTCGACCAGCGGCGCCGCGTTGACGGCGTAGGCTGGGTCCTGCTTGCCCCCCTCCAACATGAAGGACAGCGTGAGCGAGCGCCTTGCCGTGTCGGTGAACATCGCCGCTCCGACAGCCGCCCTGATCATGTGCAGCTGCGAGTCGCTTCTGCCGAGCACGCTGGCACCGTACGTCATTGCGGGCTGCATGCCCATCCTGCCCACCTTGCCCGACTTTGCGCCCTGGCGTCTGAGGCACGTGACTCGTCCGAGGCGGCGCCTCTGCTTGTCGAAGTTTGCGTCCATGACCTTGGTGCGCCGCTTCGCTCCCACCATCGAGTCCGCGCCCAGGTTGCGGTGGTGCTGCCTGGCCTGGAGCCGCTGCGCCGTGTGCGTGTGCACCTTGTCTGCGATCCACTTGCCCGCGTACGCCGTGGAGATCACGATAGTGGACTTCGAGCCGTTGATCTCGAAGCCCAGCTTGCGGAGGAGCTCGATGAGATACTGCAGGCCGTCCGCTGCTACCTTGAGTAGGAATCGCTGTGACCCGATGCAGAGGATGGTGATGTCATCGACGAAGGCGAAAAGCTGGATGCACTGATACCTGTCGCCGAACAGCCTCAGGCTGCGGTACATGAGGACCTTCAACCATGATGTCGCGAAACCGCAGCCCGCCAAGATGCTGCGGCCCAACTCGACCTCGCCCGAGACCGCGTCGTCGACCTTGCACCGCCGCGGGCCCGCATATATGCTGATGCTGGTGCGCAGCAGCACCAGGTTGGCGCCGCTGGCGCAGCCTTCGTCCCAGAGCGTCTGGTGGCCAACCCTCTCGTAGGCCTTGGTCATGTCGAGCTGGTTGGAGGCCGTGACCATGCCGACCTTGAGGGCCCACTCCTGATAGACGGCCTGGTCCCAGACGGCCCGCTCGGCCGTCCTACCGCTTGCGTTGTGAAAACATGGCAGGTCATGCTCGTCCTCCCACTGCTGCATTTGTGCCCGACGTACCTTTGTCCAAACACGAAGAAATCCTCCTAGTAGAGCGATGGGCCTCACCCCGCCCTCCTTCTTGGCGAGGAAGACGATGATGGTGGTCAGCTGCTTCGGCTGGTTGCCGACCCTCTCCATGTATACCATGAGCTGGCCCAAGAAGGCCAGAGCCTCGTCGGACAGCATCGCGAACCACCGAGGGTGGAACGCGTCGGAGCCCAAGGCCGTCCGATGCTTGAACCTCCTGCTCGCTGTCCTGATAGCTCCAGCCGTGGGCGCGTCCAGCACGTGGTGCTTGATCTCGTCCCAGCTGGTGGCTTTCATGGGCTCGTGGACATTCCAGACCTGCTTGAGCCAGTCAGCGCAGAACTTTTCGGCAACGTCCTGCACGTCCGCTGCCACGCCGTTGGCCAGCAGCCCTGCCCCCGCTCCCGTGGGCCCACGCGTCCACTTGTGGGCGAGGCCAGCGCCGTTCAACGTGGCCTGCTTCGCCCAGGCGTCGAATGAACGGCAACGTGCCTTCTCGAACTCCTTGGAGAGGCGCACGCTCACATTCTGGGCCTGATCCGCCAGCTTGG